CCGCCCAGCCCCTCCGCGATAGTACCGCGTCAGCGGCGCGGTCTCGAATACACATCGACCATCCTCCGCCGAAGAACGTTTTCCACTACAAGCTGGCCTCATGGAGTCCTGGAAAGATGTTAACCTTTCAAGCTTTGGTCTTGTGCTCGGGACATTGTGAGACTTCTGAATGCCCTATTCTGAATCCAATTCTAAATTTATTGAGTCATGTGCATCGCCGTCTGACGTGGAGAACTTTGCAAAGCGTTTTAATATTGACTCAATTTGGCCTTGAAGTACTGTTCATCTAGTCCCAGCTGGAGGCCTCTCTAATTGATGGGAAGCTTTGCCATTTCCTCTGGAGATATCAAAAAGGTCGTGGACTCCATCAAGTAGGTAGCTCCACCAAGGTCGTGTCACGAGTCGTTTGAGAGTGAAGTGTAAAGAAAAGTTTTAGTCGCAAAAAGCACGACAACCAGCAGTCGGGTGTACGATACAATCGACTCATGATGGATGAGGAAGAAACAGCCGGCAATAGTATTCAATAAATAGTCCATGACAGGTCGCCGAAGAACTAGAATCCCTAAACCGCGGTGGGGCTGCGAGATCTGCAAAGATTCAAAAGTCACCCTCCGCTGGTTTCAGGACCATCATAATCAGGGTTCGAATCATGAGTCAAGCAGATCGTAATACTTGCGGCGTCAAGGTGGTGTAACTTGCGTGGCTGCCGAGAGAGTTTCCGGGTTGACGAAGACGTCAGCCAAAGTTGTCTTCCCTCACAGCCTCAAGGACCTGATAGCTTTCGGCCCGGGAGACAATGTCGCCGACTCGTGAAGCCATCTTCGCCGAACCCAGCGAAACGCACATGAAATACGTAAGCCACCGAGAGTTACAAATGGAATTACCCGCAATCGAGGACCTCAGGGTCGCCGATCAATCGGGACCTGGCCTACCAAGGTCGTGCCACGCTCATAAGGGTACGTGCCTCCTCAGCATATGAGCCCGTGAGGATGCTCGTATTTCGAGATTCTGATACCAAGCTTAGTGTCTTTCTCATAATGATGCCGATTTCGATTAACATTGCTGTCCAGAAGCCGCTCCCTGGAGTCGAGCCTGACACGACTAACACCAAGACGGTTCAGCGGCAGTCCATGCAGCAGCCGGCAAATCGGCTCAGGTTCGACCTGAACTGCCGCTATTACGCAACTCGAGATGAAATTCCCCAGTGCTTGACATCCTTGTGGAGGTATCTGCTTCTCCCAAAGCACCAAAAACAACTGGCAGGATGGGAGTTGCTCGGGAGAAGGTTGAGACGTGGGCAAAATACCGAAGAGAAGACGCCGAAGATTGTATTCTTGGAAGTGAGTCAACTGTTTTCCAACCACAAATGCCCGTTCTCAGGCATCACTTACATAAAACAGATGAGGTTTGCTCATATCTGGCTGACCTACGACCAAATGGGCGTTGCGAGACGTGCGTTTCTGGATACTGTGGAAGCCCTCAGAGATATCATGTCAGGGTTGGCAGGGGCGAGTGCCGACGAACGAGGCACCCTTGATTGGGGAAAGGTTTTTTCGTTTGCCTGTCATCCTCGCATTGCCGGTGAATGTAGAAGGCCGTGGGGCATTGAGCCAGCAGGATACTACTGTCACCCTCTCGAACAGGGTGGGCCAAGTGGTAGTGCGCAGAAGGCAACCCAGGAACTTCTCCTCAAGTACATGGAGGTATGCTTCAAACCCAGCCGAGTCTTGACTTTGTGCGGAACGCTGAAAGAGCATGCTCAGGTGACAGACCCCGTCTGTGGAATGAAACTGGCGACGACCTCAAGTTCCGTCGCCCTTCGAGAGGCTCGCAGGCGAGTTGACCGGAGCGACGACAACACACAACCTCTCTGGAATGCCATTATGTTTTCTTCGGTTCTCGGGTCCAACCCTCTTCAGCTCGATGTTGACTTGGCCGTCTTCACAACGAAGAAGGTCGTCAAGTGGTACGATGAGCTTCTTTCCTTGTGTAAGGTTGCTGTGCAATCTCAAGGCATCGAGAGTCGAGTGGACATTGCGGTCGCCCTTGCCAAAAAACTACAAGTAGCGTCTGAACAGGTGGACGCCTCATCAGACAGAGTGACGGTCACATCCGAGTCCGCGTCCGAGAAGACTCTCTGTGGTGAGAAAGATTGGGGTTTAGGCAAGGTGACTGTTGTTGAAATCGAGGATGTCAGAGATTCGGCGAGGTACGAGGACGGAGAGGAGCTGGCTCAGCCCAGAAAGGCAAGATGGTGGAGAAGAGTGCTGGCATCTTTCGTCACCAAAGTCCGGGCCTCGAATCGCCAACGGCAACAGGATGAGGCAAGCAAGCTTGTTCGCCGTTCGTTGGAGATCAGCCGCAAAAGAACTGAGCTGAGCAAACGTGTTGTCGAGTGTAAGCCTCTTCCCGAATTCCACTTGAAAATTCATCCAGGTAACTGACACCTATGGTAACCTCCAGTCAGCGCCGAAGTCGAGCAACTACGGCTTACATCCAGGGGGTTCATTCTGCAGTTGAAACTGCAGACAAAATGGCGTCATGTCCAGGCAGTGGCGCAACGACCCGGAGTAACCATGGTCGAGGTCAGCAAAGTGACGACTGTCAATATTGACCACTTGTCGTGTGAGCGACGGCGGACGCAAGCGATCCGCGAGAAAGCGGGCAAATTGAACCGGGCAGACGATGCCATGATGCAGGGAGTAAGAGATATTTTGGAGCGTAGCAAGAAACTCAACAAGGAGCTCAAAAGCTTGCAAAAGGACCTCAAGAAGTACGCCTATCGGTATGAACCCAGAGCAAGCTTGGGACGGCGGGGGACACTTGTATGTTGCGGGTGATGGCCAGAAGGAGGGGCTGCAGTTAGTGGAGAGGATTTGTGCATAGGCGTGAACCATCAAGTAGAACTCCTCTTCCAAATCCTGACTTCGACTTTTGATATCCAAACGGGCACATCACATCTGCAAGTGCTCAGCATCGATTCATGAATGAGGGCTTTCCGACTTCTGAATTGCTTCGAACATAGTCGCTCGCGTGGGGTCATGTCCATGTGGGCTCCTAAAGAAGCGCGTTTGCGGGGCTCAACGTTCTGGCAGCAGCAGCAGCAGCAGCAGCAGCAGCAGGGCCAGCACGGACAGACCCTTGATGCAGACAGCGCGGCGGGGAGGCCTTGGGGCGCGCGCCGTTGGACGATCATCGCTGTGGCCACGATACCTACCCTGCAGCCCAGGGCGTTGTCTACGTCTGCCATTCTATGTACGAGGCGGCGTGCGCAGGCCATGGGGACAGGAAATGGCGAAGGTGCCGGCTTGACCGTTTGGCATCGTCACGTCCTCCCATTTGGTTGAATGCTCTTGGTCATTCTCGTTTCCCTTGTCCGTTTCCCTTGTCCGATACCCCAACATCCGGAGATGCCGCCCTGAGATGGAGAGCTCGCCATGTGAAGCAGGAACGGCAAGGTGAATGGGTACGAGAGCAGGCGTGGCGTTTGCTGTGGTCATGGGAGTCGACACGCTTGCGCTGCACGGTTCAGGCGGATGTTGCCGCTGAAGAAGGATGAAGAGTCGATCTTGAATAGAGTACCCGTCAACGGTTGTTTAGACTGTAGACACGGTGGAGGGGAATCTCGGCGAAGGCGCCTGTCATTACTCATCGGTGAAGAGCAAGGTGGACAGTAAGCCATCTGATCCGTAGCCATGAATGAGCCCGGGAACGAGAGCCCAGAGCGCTAGAGTCCAGAGTCCAGAGTCCAGAGACCGGGGAGTTGGGCGCCAGACGTCGCGTGCCGGGGTTGGTTTCGGTCGGTCTAGAACTGGCGCGTCCTTCGCTTGGGTCCATCATGTGCTTGGTCTATCGGGGCCGTCTGACGAGATTGCCATGGCCGCATTTTGCTCGAAAGTTGACTCGATGACCACTGTAACCATGCCGACGAGCGCTCGAAGACATGGCTACATCATGAGAAATGTAGACAAAGAAGACGAAGAGAGGTATCAAAGTAGGCCGAACCCAACGCCGAGTCTGAGAAGGCTGCTAGTGGGAGATAAGAAGGGTGCCAGGCTCATTAACAACCTAAGGTCGGGCTTCACTGGATTGCCGGGTCTGCGCCGAGGCGGGGAAATTAATGGAGAAAATCATAGTAAAATGCGGAATAGAGTAGAAAGGCAAAAAGAGGGGACGGGGGGGAAGAGATGGAAGATGGAAAAGAAATAAATGGAGGAGAACAGAGAGAGCCAAGGGAAAGGGGGGGGGACACTGGCAACTGCCAACCTTGAACATAAGGTAAGTAGGTACCTTAGGAGGTGTGGTGAAGAATGGATGAAAGTGGGAAGGAGCGCAATATCAGGCCGTCTTGCCGTGTTTGATTATTGATAAGACGCCCAAAAATGACGGGGATGGATCAAAACAAATTGTCTGGGCCAAAGAGCAGGAAGGAAGAACTTGGACCGTGTAGTCAAGATTGGAAGGTAACTGAAAGTACCTACCTTCCCTTGAGGAACTAAAGGAAGGAAGGAAAGGAAAAGTATCAGACGCAGCTGTCCAACTCTTGTGCCTTCCTTCCCTCCAACTTGGAAGTTCAATCACTGGCTGTCCCGCTCTTTCCTGTCTCTCTGCCTCTGCCTCTGCCTCTGCCTCTGCCTCTGCCTCTGCCTCTCCCTCTTTCCTTCCCGTCCCTCCATCTTGCCGTCGCAGGTGAACAAGGTGCTCCTTCCATTCCATCCTGTCGCAAATTCATCAAAAAAGAAGGCACGGCTTTACTCCATTCATTTGAAAGATAATGTAGTTAGCCGACAGAAAATGAAACATATGAAAATCAATTCCCTCCATATCGCCCACGACAATCCAATATCCTAAAAGATGTGTTCCGACACCGCTCCTCCCGTGCAAAAGATGTGTGTGTGGTGTGTGCCCCTTGTGACCGTCCACCACCAGCACCACCGACCGCCAGCACTCAATCAGCCATATCCGCAGTCCTCCCCCTCCCCTCTCCCCTCGCGCCGCAACACGAAACCACGTCACCTCCCATCTTCTCTTCTTTCACAACAACACCTCGCCATTCCACCACTCTTCGTCGTAAACTTGTCGTTTTCCATCGCTCTTTGGATTAACTCGATTCTGCAGCTTCAGAAAGCTCGAACGCGTCACTTTTCCATCATCTTCATCTAACCGTAAGTCTTTTAAAAACTACCAACTTTGGCCCGTTTTTCCCGCCTATCGCGCCATCGCCGCACGCCTTCAGGTTTCCCCTCCTCCTACGGATATTCTCTCTCTCTCTCTCTTCACGCCTCTTTCTCATGAGCGCATTCACAACCACAACCTCTTCTTTTCGTCGCATTAGGTCTATCGCGATCGCGTCAATCTCCTCATCGTAAACCAATAACTAACATTCCATCGCGACACCAGACCAAACGTCAAAATGGCACGTGAAGGAACCCGCTCCCAGACCGGCAACTCCAAGCCGCGTCTCTTCCCAGTCGTCGACACCGCGCCTGTTCGCAAGCAGAACACCACGACCACCACGACCGCAAAGAAGCCCAAGACTACTTCCACTGCTGCCAAGGCCGCGAAGCCTGTCGGCGTCACCAAGAAGAAGGCCACCACCGCCAAGAAGGGCCCTTCCGTCGCTACCAAGGTATGTTCATGAAGCATTGTACCTCACACACTTTTGGGAGGCGCGCAACTCTCTCTCTCTCTCTCTCTCTCTCTCTCTCTCTCTCTCTCTCTCTCCACACACCACAACGACCTCGTAGTTTTTCTGCGCCTTCTGGCGATAACCTTGACTTGGATTCAGCCACGCCATGTTGTGTTCTTGTTTAGCGAATCTGGGCATCCAGGTCGCGCGTGCCACAAGAGAGGAATCGTTTGCCCCATCCCTATGATACAGACCCTCTCTCAATATGTCTTCTTGCCATTACGTAGCAACTGAGCTTCATCACTAACACACCTCGCGCAGGCCAAGTCGGTAGCCAAGAAGGCAGAAACCAAGGTCGCCGCCGCCACCAAGGCAGGCAAGAAGGAGACCAAGCCCAAGACCACAAAGGCAAAGGCGACCCCCGCCGCCGCCTAAGTGTTTGTCTTGACTGCTTCTCTCTTCGAAGCATGCCTCACGCATGAATGAGTCTCTCTCTCTCCAATCTTCAGTACGGGGCTTGCCAGTGTCTTTTCTCCTCCAAGATACCACCTTGATTGTTGTCGAGCGAGCGGACTTTTTGGACCTGCTATTTGTGACTTTGGGTTCTTGGGCGGGCGTCATGTCTAACGGATAGCTGTCTGTCTATGCGCGCCTTGCTCGCATGTTGTTTTTGGGAGGCTAGCTTCTCGTTATCCCTCTCTTTAGTGTATCGTTTGGGTTGTTTCCGGACCATGGGGTGGGAATGCAAATAGGTTACTTACTTGTTGGGCTTGGGTCTGGGTTTGGGTTTGGGTCTGGGCTCGTCTGGTCTGCTTCTCGTCTAGTTACCGCACTGCAGCAAGGACCGAACAGGGGTCCAATCGAACAGTCAATTATGGATGAAGTCGGTTTTCGTTGACATCTTTGGTCCCAGGCCTGTGTTGGAAAGTGTTCATGACGTGTGGTTATCGTTGCGCGATTCGGACTCACGTCAGATCCGTTCCACCGCGAGGACAGTATGGTCGAGCACGTTACTCATCTTACCTTACAAGGTAGCACAAGAAAGGCGTCTAGCATGGTCGCACACTCATCCAACATGAACTAGAATAACGCGGTGGTCTGTTCTTACCAAGGATAGTCAGTAGCCAATGATCAAGGGGCAGTAGCAGCGGCCACCGAGAGGAATCGTTGGTAGTAGTATATTCAAAAGTATAACGAAAGTGGTATCAAGGTGCACAAAGTGTGCCAGTACGTCTATGACACTTTTCCAAAAACCCCATTGCCCCTTTCCGCCCCCCCTATTTTGGGTGGCATACATAGCCTTGGGACCCAACAACCTTCTCCGTATCGAACCATCGTCGTTATGCCCAACAGGTCTATCCACCCAATGCCGCCGAACGAAAGTAATGCTGATGCTCCATAGTTTAACCAACCGCAAGCGCCGTGTCCCCCATTACACCGACCAGTACAAGCTCCGTCAAAATCGAGAATAAAATCAGATGGGGAAGTTCAACTGCTGCTCCGCCCATGGAATGTTGTAGTGGTTCTCCCAGTTGCGTCCGTTGCGCGGGCCCTCCTTGATGAGCTGCATCTCCCGGACCCCGCAAAACATGCCGTTGCGCCCCGTCCGCTCAACCATCTTCCACCCTTCCCGGCGTTGGTAAATCTCTTCCATGAAGCGTTGCCCTTCAACAACCTCCCTGTGGGGGTTCGGGGTCGGGAACCGTGAAAAGTAGGTAATAATCTCCTGCGGCAGGGCCATAAGCCGTTCCCAATGGCGAATAACGCGTTCGAGGCGTTGTGTTCTCTTGCGATAGGCCACGCGCACGTATGGGTTCACAAACACGCCCATGTCTGGCTCTCCGGCCTTGTCCGCAACACTCGTAACATCGGCAAGGAATAGACAGCATTCGCAGGCGTCAAAGTAGACCTCGGGTTCGTAGCGGAATCGGACTGGTGTCGTCGTGTTGTGAGGGTGATCCGGGTTGATGACATGGTGCGCAATAGCTTGCCAGTCTTTTGTCGGCAGCCTCTTATCCAAGTTCTGGATGTACTTGGCCTGCATGGCCACCATTCCACCCCAGCAGCTCTTGACGGGGACCGCATCTGTCTGCGAGAGCATGGCCTTGCGTGAGATTGCCTGGCCCTTGTTGGTGAAGTAGGGGAAGATCGGGATTCCGTTGGAGTAACCTTCAGCATCGCGCTGCGCATAAAGGTCATACTCGAGGAAGGGATTCCAGTCATAGTCCAAGGAACATGCCGACAAGTAGTGAGCTTTGCCGTCTTCGCCTGCATTCGTGTTGAAGAGTAGATGAGCGGCGTCTACCGGCGCAAAGAGCGCGTCGTTGAGGAACAAGATCTTGTCATACTTGACAATCCCTGCATCCGTGTCGTACTGGTCCAATGGGTAGAGCGCGCGGTTGCGCATCTCGGACAGATACGCCAAGCGTTTCAACCTCTGTGTTCCATCAGGCATGGTGACATGCGGGAAGACGTTATAGTCGACCTGACCCTCGCTGACGATCTTGTGCTTGCATGGCACATTTTTCTTAAACTCCTCCAAAGCAGCAGTACCCAAGTCACCGCTGTCATTTTCGTAGATACTAAGGAATGTGTTGTCCTCGCCAATCATGTGAATCAGGTCCAGTACATTCTTGGCCCATTCTCCCCCTGCAATCTTGCCCTCCGGGTCAAACAAACTGACGGCAATGAATACCTTTTCGTTCTGCATATTGGCGCACCCGGAAAGGCTGTCGGACACCAGACATCTTTTCCTCAAATTTTTGTAGTGCTTCGGATGGCGCGTGTACGACGGGAAGAATATCGGTGTGGTGACAATGATGAAGAGTATGAACATGAACGTATATCGGAGTAGGAGCCGTGGGAGGGATCGAGGTTGTCGACGGAACTTTCTCAACAATGACTTTGGCCGTCCTTTGAGCCATGCAAGCAGTGTTCCTCGTTGCCTCCGGCGCGAGATCGAGGTCGAGCCGGGCAGCAATGGTTCCTTGTGTTCGTCATCGAGGTCAAAATCTTCTACGGATGATGAGGAGCGCTCTTCGGCGAAGGCAAATTCCCCTGATTTCGGCATTGCGGTACTTTTGTTCGTGCCAATGAAACGAGGCTCGGCTGGAGGGGTCGTGGTCGTGGTCGTCTTCGTCGTTTTCGTCGTTGTCGGCTTCGTTATACAAGTATGTGTCTATATGTAGGTCCTAGAGGGTATCACTGTGTAAGTCTACGCCAAAGTCGTGTGCCAAGACAAAGCTCACGATGATATTAAATGTCCAAAAAAAACAAATTCCCGTTGGCCGTGATCGAAAATGGATGTTACAGCAGCTACGCAGAAGCAAGGTGTCAAGTCTGGCCGTTGTCGAATTTTGTTTGGAACATGCGCGGTCAGAGGATCCAAGATCGGACGACGATTGCAGGGCTCGGACTGAAGACGAGCTGACGTTGTCTGAGCAGGGGAACAGGTCCAACGGGTCTCCTTGGCAGAGATGGGGAGAGGGGGGGAGGGACTCGGGAGCAAGGCGAGGAAACTGAGGATTAAACTAAGGTAATAAGGTAGACCAGGAGAAGAAAGAAGATGGGGGGATAAGCATTACAAGAATGGTAGCGGGTTCTTGACGAAGCACAGGAAGGGAAAGGCGTGGAGGCGTGTAGGTCTGGAACGACGGCGAGGAGGAACCAGGACGAAAAAGGCTTCGAGGAATGGGCTTAGAGTTTGGGATCGAGTTTGGGGGCAGACCAAACATCAGTCCGGCCCTGCCCCAACAGCAGCCACAATTCCATAGCAGACGACCCACGGTCCATGATCCACGACGGTCCACGGCCCACGGCGATGACGGCCACCGCTAGAGGTTGGCCGGGGGCACGACGCTTCCGAATTGGGAGCAGCATTGTGCGATTGGGGATGGTCCATGAGGTGGCTCATGGGACCAGTGACAGGACCTGATGGCCCATGGATGGATGGACCATGGGAGGAAGGACCTGAGCTGCACAGTCTGGCCCACAATCTTTCCGCTCCATAGTCGTAAAAACCAGTTGTACACTCTGTACGGAGTACAGGTCCGTAATTGTACAGTCGTTGCGTAGAGGCGTAGAGGCGTAGTGTGCGGGTAGAGAGTGTATCCTAAGGTAGGCGTGAACGTGGGAATGGATGGCGAGGTATGCGCAGCCGCAGATGCTAGGGCAGAGACGCTACATGGCGACAGCTTGACTCGAGAGCGGCATGGGTTGGGTCGGTGCCATCGGTGGCAGACAAAGGGGGCGCGCCGCGCGCAGCGTTTGCGTGGTTGCCAATTTTGCTTGCTTGGTGCCCTGGTGAGCCTGGTGAGTGAGAGTGGGTGCAGGGGAAGGGGAAGCAAGCGCAGGACGCATGTCGCAGGGCAGCGTGGGGACGCAAACCCTCGACGGCTTCGAAACTATGTTTCTGTTCCGGCAATGCGGCGCCATCCTGGTCTGGGCCTCATACACTACTTCGTACACAGTGGTAGTGGTGGTGGTGGTGGACTGCTGGTGGGGCCACGCAGAGAGCAGCTTCCATTTTGCAGCCTTGGTTTGCTTCATCCATCGTTTTCATGCAGAAGCGTCAATGGGAAGACGTGCGCCATTGGCCAAGAGGAAGCGGTGGTGGTGAACCGTTGGGGTATGGCGGATTTGCCCTCAACTGTTCAGGCATACTGCGTAGTAAGGTAAGGTGGGATGGCTTTGGGCCGACATTTTGCAGGAGGACTCGAGACAAGACTGGGTTGGTTTCCGTGGATGATGATGGCCAGATTGGCGACTGAGACATTGATGCCGATTTCCAAGTGTTGCAGCTTTCAGGTTGAGGTTGGGGAAATATCAAAGACAAGCGCCAAATGAGAGGGAACTGGAAAGAAGATCCTCATCCGCATCCAGTATCAAATGCCAGAGCAAGAACGTGCTCGGTCGAGGTCGAAGAAGAAGGTCCGGCTGGGCAAGCGGCAGACATGGGTAGCTCCGGCACCTGCCAGCTGTGCCTCTTCTTCCTTAGGTACTTGTACCTTTACCTTGGGAAGGACCTTGGCATGCAGCTACCTACCTACCTTACTCCGTACCTTACCTCAGGCACCTTGCCTCAGATTCCTGATTGTAAGGTACTTAAAAAGTTGGGGTGAGCAGTGGAAACAACGACCATGACAGCAACACACAATCAGGTTGCAGATAAAGTGCAAACAAACATGACTTGAATTGTTTAATTATAATCACTACGTATGTGTCGTTTGCACGGCCAAACATGGATGCCCAGATTGTCATGTACTGCGCACATGGTCCCGTTGGTGCCAGTTGCTAATTGCAGAAAGACAGGGAGGCAAGGGGCACGAAGTACCTAGCAGGCTCCGTCTCTAGCATCGAAGATCGCAAGGTGCAGCAGGGCTGCGAACCAAGGAGTCGCGGTAAATGCCAAGGCCCAAATGGAAGGAGGTTTTACGCAGTACCGTACGGAGTAGTAGAGCTCCCAACCGTGACAGTCACTGTGACACTAGACCAAATGAGGATTAGCGCCATACTACCCCTGCTCATGATCAGAAATTCAGAATCACCACTACCGGATGCACGGCCCATTTCTCATCTCGTTTCGGCCGACGTCTTTTTTTTCTTATTTACTTCCTTCCCAAATTTCTACCAGGCGGTAAGCAAGCAGTCACAACAATAACAAGCCAGGTATCCGTACCTTAGGTACTTACTCCGTAGATAGGTTCCTTTTAATTTTCCCACTTGCCTTCCTTTTACGCTGCGTGCTTACCTAAATTTGAAAGCACGGATGCCTCTTTCCTTTCCCCGACTCCCCGAGGCAGGTCTTCGAGGTTTCTCATCCTTCCCGTTGTTTCCTTCCGCGGCCCCTCTCTCGATGGAGCACCTCAACTCTTGGCAAGAGATACCTGCCATTCCGAATGAACTTCCACTGTTGACAACCTTCAAGTTGATGCATCATGGAATGCATGGAACGATGCACAATGCAAGAACAGATGCCCTGCTCCGTACTGTTTACGTCACCACACCTTGCCTCCTCATCCCACACACGCACGCACGCACACACGTACACACACAAAAAGGGCATCGTTCCACTGTTCACGGCACGCCGCACCACCCACCTTCCGTCCTATTGTGATGCGCTGCGGTCTGCCACTGCCAAACTCCACGTTGCATCCCTGCCGTTGTACCGACCGGATCCGCACCACTGGGAATTTCCCCTATTGCTGACTTGCTGTCTATTATTTCTGCTGCGTGCCTGGGAATTTTGCAAAGGCCAAGTCAGAGAAAAGGGTCAAATCTTGGAGAGTAAGAATAGCTCGCTACAATTTCTGAACACTTACCTAAGGTACCTTACCGAGTATCTAACGACCCATTTCACTCACACTGCCCATTGGCCATAGAGGCATCAAGCAAGCAACAATGACCGGCCATTCAGTCCTTGGGTTCACCAATCATGAACTCTGCCTCGGTACTTCCGTCCATGCAGCAGCTTGCAGGCGTTGGTTGGCGACTTGGCGCACGCCATCAGCCACAATTCGTCGAGTCCCCTTACGCAATCCACTTGATAACGTGCTTTAGTCAGCGGCCATCTCTCACTCAATCTCCGTTGCTCACTCACTTCCATGTCACTCACTCACTCACTCACTCGCTCACTATTCAGACTTTCATGAGCACAATGGAAGAGGAGGATTCCATTGAATAGTGTAGTAGCAATCCCCACTTCCGACTCTGTACGCATACAAACGCACATCAAGTGAGGCGCCCGAGGTATGGAAATGCGTCTTTGTACCATCACGATCCTCACTGGTCGCAATTTTCCCCTTTGCAGGCCATCGTTCAACTCCCTCACGCGCCAGCTCCACCCTCATTTCGGCTCCGCGGCATCGTCAACAGGCCTGTAAGAGAGCGGGGCCGCGATTCGCGGCCTCCGATCGGCGTCTGTCAGCACCATCTTCAATCCCTCCCACACGGCCACGCCTCTTTTCATCTCTTCATCTGGCTTAGTGCAGTTAGATGCAAGACGTCCAAGGACCACGCTATTGTTTTCCCAACCTAACAGTTGAACTTAAGCTTCAGCTGGTCATGACACTGCATAAATGGCAGCCTAGAAAATACGAGCTGTTTAGGTAATAATAAGCATTCTCACTGAGCATAGAGGTCTGCGGACCGTTCCTCTTCTCTTTACGGCTCAAGATGTGGGGTGTACGCAATTTTGAAGATTGAAGCATCCATACTCAATGCTCAGATGCCAGTTAATTCCACTCCTTTGAACACTACGGTTATGGTCCATGGACACAAATAGGGTTTCTGATTACCTCATTCGCACCGTTACTGGATTTACATATGCAGCCCTTGCATTTGTTACTCCATGATCTGAAGAGGATCGAAATCCCTGTAAACTGGATAACCAATTTGAACCTTGCCTTCCTCTTAGTGATCCTTGCTCCATCGACACAACTCACGACATGGTTGATTTACCTGCGTTTTCACCGTGGACTAAATGGACTAGGTAAAGTATCTAGGATCATCATTACCAAGAGAAATGGATGACAAGCTCCCGTACGTCCTGTGAAAAGCCTCTGCCTTGGCACATCAACTGTCACTCGTTAGGCCGGAGCCTCGTTCGGGAGGTTGTGTACGAAATGAGAGCGCAAGTCTGACTTTGTAGATACAAACGAGTCCCTGGGCTTGTCGCTTAGTTGCACTCAAGTAATGGAGCCTCGAGTCGTGAAAAGGGCGTCTGTTACACCGCCGTAGGCCCTTATCATATAAGTGTGACCACAATGCAAGCTGAGGACTTGTAAGTCAGTCATCTTCATTTGTGGTCTTCATCTAAACCTCTCAGGCGAGCCTAGCTAGTAGAGTTCTAATAAAGTCAAGATATTGGCTATGAATTATACAATCGTGCGCCAGAGCTCTAGTAAAAGATATATCTAGCGAGGACTTCTTGAGCCTTGTGCTTGAACAGTGATGTGCTGCAAGAGTTTGCAAGATGGAAGCTATATCATGATGGCAGAAAAAAATGGGATTCGAGTGGCGGGCGATTCGATCTGAGCTTTTTGCTTGTTTGTAGTAGGAGAATGCAAACCATTTCTGTCCTCTCTTAGTCTCGAGGCAAAGGGGCCATCGAACCCCAAAGATTCAATCATACTTAGAAAACCATACTATATGTACACTTATTCTCCTTCTTCCGCCTAAAGTCTCGCTGAAGTATCCATTCAGGTGGCTTTCGGATAAAAATTACGAGAGTAAGAAATTGAACGTGCGATAACCGCTAAAGCTAAAGCCTCGAGAATAATAAGACGAAATCTTGATCGCGCATACGCCAGTAAGCATGGATTAAAGTAATTCATGATCTCCACGCCGACTTCTGTGGAACTTGAACTTCAGTGATAGATCACCGCCAGTGCACCTACATTATTGACCGCCTATAATGTTCAGGTCGAAAATTCTTCCAGTGGTGGCCGTCTCTCCAGATGAAACCATGATTCGCCCTATACAAGTCCCCTGCCTCATCTCGGTCAGACCAAGTGACTCCCCTCTTCAAACATACTCGAATGTGTCATGTCTTTGCGGCGAGTTGAAGTAATTGTCCGACTTATCCGCCATGGCCTTCTCTCGCCGCGTTCCCAAGAACCATGCAGCAATGGTGAGCAGCGTGAGACCAACTGCAAGGACTGCGAATAGCCAAATGTGTTTCGATACTATAGACTGACCTTCGACTGCCTCCCAGTTGAACATATCCATAGAAAATATGGCCTATGTTTGTCCTCAATTAGTACTTACAGAGGAACTTGTGGAAAGAAGTCTCCGTAAATTGCAACAAATGACTTACTGCAACACTAGACAGGGGGAGATATATCATTGTAAGAAGCGCAATCGTTCTCATCTGAGCGCTTTCGACCTTTGTTTGCACTGCGATGGCAGCATTTGCTTTTGACATCTTGGTGTTGGTCTTTGAGTCTTGTCTTGCAATGTGGTTCCAGACCTGCCGGTGTTACTAACTTTGACTATTGGAGTAAAGTCTCGCGTCTGAAAGATGACTTACTGTTTGCATTGCCAATGATGTGTTGCAAACCATCATCTGGCACTCATCGATCTTATCGTCATATTCTATCATGATGTCGTCCACCCTCTTCTTCATCTTTAGCCCTACTTTCGCCACCTCTGTTGCTCTTGGCTGACTCTTGTAAATGTATTCAACCCCGCCGAGAGACTCGAGCTCTGTCGTTATGATGTCAATTTCTTTTGAGAACTTTGCCAATTGTCGTTTTGCCATACGAATTTGGTCCATCAAATTCTGGCTTTTAACACAGAGAGATAAATGCTGTTGCGCTTTTGAGCCGTCCGTATCTGCGTCTGGGCTCCACGGATGTGTTTCGAGCTTTTCTGATCGAAGTGTAAAATCATCTAGCAGATCTTCTACTGCCTCAACCAACCTCGCTCTCGCTAGCTCTTCAAATATCCCTGGCATCATGAGTGGGTGGAAGGCTTGTTTGCCTGCTCTCCGCACTTTTAACTCAATGCTTCTCATCTGGTGATCATTACAACCATATGCCACAGCAAATGTGGTACCAGTACTCGGTATGTAAGTGGCAGACATTGCTAGATCGTCCGGCAGACTTGAAGACATGCGCGCAGAAAAGGCTATAGTACGTGTCAGACTCTGTAGGTAAACAGTAGTGAATGATGAACAAACACATCTTGAGATGACCTGACGTCGCGTCATTTTCACGGGCGGAAGAGAAGCACGGGACCAGTCTTGCTATCGTTCGTTTAACATTTCGAGATACATGAAACTCTCTAGTGATTCTTTCCCAAGTGTTTCCTGTAAACGGGAGGTACTGTATTCTGCCGGGCGCTTCGGAGATCGGAGGAGCTCTGCTACACAGACTTTTCGGAATCAGTATAATATTACATAGTAGCATTGCCTGCTTTTGATGTAGAATAGAGTGTATGGATGCCAAGTATCTTAGAACTTCGACTTACATCACACACACTCCTGGCTTCAAGTCCTTCCACTCAGGAGAGCTACCTTGTGACTGTTGGCACTTGTAGTTAGCATTGCTACTCGGCTGGAGGAGAATGATCAAACTTACAGAGCTGAACCATCGCTCCCAGTCTTCTTTGGTATGAAGGGCTTGGCTTGTAGGCTATGGAGTGTTAGCCACTCCGAGTGCTTTAAGTAACAATTCGTCACAAACCTCCTCACCGTCTAGGGATCTTATCACCATAGCCTTTCGCTCGGTGTATCCAAAGAACCCAAGATCTGATGCCGACCATGTCACTGTCTCAATTGGTAAATCCATTCTTTTAACTTGACGTTTCAGTGAATGTTGATTCAAGAAGGCTTTAAAACTCTTGGGATCTCAAGTCCACGAGTACTAAGATGCGTGGTCCGTCAGAGGTAGGGTGCTTCTTGATGGTGTTGAGCGACGGTTTCTTTGACAGCGTCGTTGGTATATCCTGTGTATGTCGACTCCCTTGAGAGATATATGTATAAGTATGCGAGAGTCGGCTATGAGAAGGAAGCTGTTTCCGTAGCGTCGTTCATAGTTTCTACACTTCCAAACCTCTCTCGACATTCTGCTCTCTAGCCTGCCTCGCAGGATGCCTTTGGCCGCTTTAGTAGGCATCCATAACCCCGGCCCACACTATGCTGGCCGGGACCAAGACCAGTTAGTATGAGGTAGGCTTACTCGCATTGCAGCAACCGAAACACCTCTTTGCCTAGTGTAGGTATGTAGGCAGATTCGAGGTGGAGCGATAGGCAGTGTTCATGTATGTGTTGTCGGGCTGCCATTGGGGTTCTTCTCATGCATCATGCAAGACAGGGCGGGCGGGACTCGAACATCAGGATTGGGTACCTGCACGCATGATCCCACCCTCTCTAGACACAGAGACTCACCAGGGAAACAAGCTCGGATGTTGCCCCCGCCGGTTCTGCCTTTTCAGGTCTCCAACCACTTCTCCTCCCGCCTCAATTTGGACACCGAAAACCAACAAGCCTCTCATCCAAATTGCTGTGAAGCACACCTCTTCGGTAATTGACCAAGAATATATTATAAAGCCTCGAGAGCACGGGATGTCTCTCTTCCGCAAGAGCTGGGGCCGCGGTGATAAATCAGAACCGAAGGCAGAACCTGAAAAGAGTAGTACACAAGTAACACAAGCGGCAACAAAACCAGGGCCGGGATCGGATTTCCCGTTCGAGGAGATGATGAGAGCGAGATATCATGATTCTGCAAAGTTGAAAACATCGCTGGATTCGATCTATGGCCAAGGGAATTATAAGGTCAAGGTACACTGCCGTTACTACAAAATACTCTCATTCATGGCCGGTACATGGTTTACTGACGATAGCTTTAAACAGGAAAGAGCCAACAGATTCATCCTCATGCTGCCCAAGCCACTGAAAGAGGTCTGAGATACCTACCTCCTGGTAAATCCATAAGTTGAGCTGAATGAACTAACGTATTCGGGGTTGAAGGGCGAGCTAGCAGCGATCGAACAGCGCATTAGGGTTCACTACAGCGATTGACTTAGTGGTTGGCTTTCAGGCTCGGGATGTGGAAAATCTGACCTGTCGAGCTGCAACATTGTCTTAAGGTCGGACATGTGTGAAAGACGAGACGCCCTGACCTTTCTCCGTTGAATCGTGTAATTGATGATATCTTAGGGTCGTGGTCTGACGCGGAAGCAATGATGGCTCTTGCTTCTGGGTTTGAGCTTGAGCATGAAAAGTGCGATTCATTCACCTTCTCGGGTCTTGGGAAGGTTGCCTGGGTCTCCCAGCCATCTCTTTCGCGAATCTTAGCTTTTAGGCTTAAGATAGTAATCGGGGTCGACGGTGCAAGCCTTCAAAAGATCCTTCATCCTTTTGCTCAATAAGCTTGATGGGATTCTCGTCGTGGACTCGGGATCTAGCATGCGGTCTCGAATGACATCAAGCAAGTCCGAAAGGTACCAGGAACAGTCACGGTGGTTCTTGAGTTTCGTTATCCATGTGGTAACCGAGGACTTGAGGTAAGCCTTTTTGTCTTTGATCGAGAAAAAGACATCAGAGTCGAACCCATGTTTATCTTGTTCCAGTCTGAAATCGGGAAAGGTTTTCTCCACGTCTTCGAGCCCGAGCAAAAACCAGGTGACATATTCGAGGAACACACATCCTAGGCTGAAGATATCTGACCTTGGTGACACGAGACCAAACTCCAGGTCAAATTCGGGGCAGCGATACGTTGCTGTTCTTTCCAGGCTGTTAGGGTCTTGCTTTGAGCGGGAAACTTGGGTGTGCAGTCGCCCGAGACCGAAATCCGCTAATGCCAAAAGACCGGGAAAACTATCCGATTTGAACCACAGAAAATTCCCTGGGAGCGAGTGTTTCAGTAAGTCGTGTATCGATTTGGGATGAGAGTAGTCAATTTACCTGGCTTAATGTCCCCATGGCGTCCATACAACTGCTTGTTGGAGTCTCGGTCCTCCAAATATCGTACAGTTGGTTCGCGATCGTTGTGAACATAGCGAAGAGCTTCGGAAACTTCGTAGAATTGAGTCGCCATCCACTTGCAATGCCGTTTATCTCTCACTAGAGCTTCATTGCTCTGCCAAAACTTGTTCAATGTTCCATCAGCCCAGTCAAACAAGAGATAGAACGTTGATTCTCTTGTCGCCGCATTCTTGACCTCGAATGTGGCCAGGAGCTGTATGATGTGTTTCTTTTGATAGTTCTGGGCAGTGGAAACTAGTGATGACAACTCGAGATTGAAACTGTCACGACTATGCGATGTGAGTTTCTTTAGCGCAAAGTAGCCTTGTGGATGCCGAATCTAGATGAGTGAAACTGTCAGTTAATTTGACCCCTGCCCGGACCCTTCTCAAGGACTGCTCTGCAATGTAACTTACCCCATGCACTCCAAAGTCAGAATGACCTTCGTGAATTTTTACTTTGTATACCTCGCTGAAGCCCCCGTATTGATTCCCACCAGAATCCGATTTTCTTTCTTCTTCCTCAACCTTGGCCATAACCTCCATGGGGAAGACGTCTCCCGTATCCAGCAGGTAATGTTGATGTGTTCCATGCTCCCATTTGATGAAGGGAGAGCACATGGAGTAGGTCCATTGGGAAAACCTATTACGGTCTTCTGGTCGACGATAGCTATTCAGTAGGCGATGTTCCTTGTGCTTCCTGCACTGAAGCGTTCGACGTCTGTCGTTGGGTACCTTTCGAAGGGGCAGGCAGCTATCCCTTAGCTCATCAGTCCACATGTGTTTTGACATATCCTCGGCTTTGTCAATTCCAATCAAAATTGCGAGTAGCTTGACACAGGGCGACTTGGAGCCATCGGCGCTACCATACTGGATTTCTCTGGCGAGCTGATCTTTGTCCTGTACGCCTTTGAAGCACTTGAGCACATGAACAGCAGATAAGACTCGACTGTGTGTCATAATCTGTTCAAATGTGCGTCTTGGTATAAAGTCCTTGTCCGGTTCAAGAAGGTCAGGCACCATGGCAGCCGCTTCGTCGAGTTCTTCGGCAATAATTCTGATAACATCGTGTTCGAAACGAAACTCTTCTGGTCGCCTGGAAGCCCCAATGGATCCTCGGCTTGCTGGATTTCTTTGTTCGCTCTTTAGTCGAAAGGACTCGCCTCTGTCATGGATGTGTGTGACTTTCTGCGGATTATCCAATACAAGCTTTCCTTGTTGGAACAGCAGCCTGAAAACCTCCTGAGGTTTGGCTGCCATGATGCAAGTATTACGTAGTCTGACCTATGCAATGTTAGGGAGCTCAGCTCTTAGCCAAAACCCACCGGTCAGTGAACTTACCAATGATGGCCGACTGGTGGCTTTGCTAGATGGTGACTTAGTGACGAACCTCAGAGCTGGTTCTCGCAACTTATGACCAGTCCCTATCGATCAAATGTGATGCGCAAAGACGTCGCGCCAGCGTAGAGAAATTCCACGAGGCGACGCTACGTGAAGAAGTGCGAAATCCACATGCACACAAGATGGAGGAATGGGGCCGGAATGGAGCACATCTTAAAGCCAATCGTACACATAGAACGGGCTGTGAGAGTTGAAGTACCTTTCTCAGAGTCCATATCCAGTTGATGGAGTGGTGCCTCGGACCATGATTTGCTGGCCTTGTCATCTTCTTGCCAGTCTCTGTCACACATTTTTGGCCTTATTAGGAAAGCCTCGTTGACGGGCCTTGCATCTAATGTAGAATTCGGTCAGCAAAACGGCCGGAGAGCACGTAGCGATGGCATCTTGATAAGGTAGAAGCAGTAAGGCACTGGGGCGCGCACCAGGATCTCAACAAGCCGCAGCAAAATGAGGGCACTATCGTGATTGGTCTGGTTATTGTGTCTTGCACTTAACCGCAGTTCGCATTCCACACGTGCCGTCAGACAGCCTGCTTGTTCCATCCGAGAGAGCCCGACGAAGTGTATGCCGAAGGAGGCCTCGGCCCACCACCCACCTTCGCCCCTTGTGCCGAGCAACAGCCCCCACAGGCTGCCTCAACATCGCCTGCAAGGAAGCAATACGGCAGTAAGGGATGAACTTCCCAACCCGTCAAGAGAGCAGTGACTCTCGTGTCTATATCTTCTATATGGGCGGGGTACCTAGATCTTTGGAATTGTTTCAAGAAGCTCAGAGGGGACGAACCAGTCTTCGGGATCGACGTTGATGCTTTTGGGGATTCAGTCGAGATGAAAGGAAGCATTAGAGCAATCCATGGGAATAGACTCTCAAATACTATTCATATTGTTCGACTCTCACCATGGGAATAGCCGAGAAGTTTGAGATTTCGATGCTCCAGATAAGCCTATTGAGAACGTGCTGCTCAAGGTGCTCCAACAAGCAATAATGCGGTCGCGGCAAGACACGGGATTCGAGGGCTTGCAGCACTATTCAGCCCACTTGATGAAGTGTGGTATGGCAGCGAAGTTCGAACAAACCAGATTGTGTTTAAAAAGCACACCCATGACACTGAGGGATTGTGAACCTTGCTTTTATTGCCTGCAGTGTAACCAACATGCGTTGGCAACGCGCTAATACTGCGGCTCAGTCGGTCAAAGCCTCAAGGCGAGGGGCTGGGTCGCCTGTGGTCCGCCTCGACCCTTGTCTCATATCCAATCAATAAGCCAATGTTGTCTGTGTCGATGGCCGGGAATCTGATGGGACAACATGACCGGTGAGACCCGTGTGACAATGATGTGGCGGTCAGGGACCAGACGACCATATCCTCATAAGTTGAGTAGGTCCTCGACGGGAAGCTTATGGGAACAACTCTTGACCTCATAATTAGGAGACTAATCGCTATTCATTGGTAGCAATGTGCCGACTCTCGCCACTCTGATCACCCGGTCGACTTTTTTTCCGCGGGCCATTTCCAGGTTGAAATAGGAGTTTCGCTTCCGGCGACTGTAGCGCAAGGCATCTGGCTGCCTGCTTTCCACATCGCGCCCTGTCAGTTCCCCGAATAATCACCTTGTCGATTTCGTACCTCGACTTTGAGTAAGCGTCATGGCCTGGCAGCAAAGACATACACCTTCCGGCAAGGTTCAATGGCAATGTAATCAGGATGGCACCCAGAATGCTATTATTTCTGCATCCCAAGTCAGCTCCAGCCAGCTCAAGGAATACTTGGACACGAATTATCCGGGACAGTACTCAGTACAGGTAAATTTTCTATCCGCCACTTTTGGATTTCACCTGCCTTGAAGACACTAATCATGGCTCAGCTGAAACGGGATAAATTCCGAATCACAGTCGGGTCACGCGTCCGTTAGCTGCATCGTGAGTCTTGTATAAAGAATAGCGACGCCAACAGTGACTGATCCCGAGATGCTAGTCAAACTTCGCGCCCGTATTGTGATCGACCCTTGACGCAATGGTCTTGAATCTAGAGCAATTGTACCATAGTGCTACATGTACTTAAGGAGTGACCAAGCTTGCGCCTGCAGTGCGCGAGGACACTTCGCAAGGCATTGGCTCGGTAAAAATAGCACAGCTAGCAATAGCACAAAAACAATCATAAGAGATTCTTAAAGAAGACGAGCTGGTGTAAATGCAAGGACCAGGCAAGGCTAGAAGTTCAAAAACGTTCAATGACGCACGCACTTAGGCAAACAAGAGGTTCAATTTAGTCGCTAGTGTTGAGCTATAGCGTACCATAGCCGAAGGTGATTTGGCTGACAATCAATTTGGCATGATAGAAGTCATGCTCATTGCTGTTATTGAGAAAAGAAGATGAGCTTGCGGATAGTATGATAGATGGTATTAAGTGGAGAGGATCTATGTTTTGAATGGTAAAGCCGAGAAAGTCACGTTGTACAGGCGTTGACTCCTTCGGGCCTCACAATGTGAGTGCACGAACCTTTCTTTCAACCGCTGCTAATGCGTCCATGCCATCATTCTCATGTTTCAACTTCATTGCCGCCTTTTTGAACTTGGTGTCTTGGAAGATTCGGCCAACTCCAAGCCTGATTTGATCTGTCGAAGGCCTTTGGGTCGATAGACTGACGCCAAGGCCAGCGTAAACTGCCCGCATAGTAACTTCAATCTTCTCCTCGCTTTCTCCTGCTAGTACAATTGGAACACCGTTTCTCACCGCATGTGTTAAGGCGCCATATCCCCCGTTGGAGACAAATACATCGGTATACTCAAGCACAATGTCGTAAGGCATATAGTCCACGACCCTAGCGTTCGAGGGAACGACATAGCCATGCGGGAGTTGAGCGCCACGGCCACCCAAGGTTGCAACAACGAGAATATCTTCAGTCTGAGAGAAGGCTTCGATTGTTGGAAGAACGAGTTCGGAGTAATCCATGTTGACGGTACCTTGGGAGACAAAGACCACATGCCGGTATTGATTGTCTTTCTGAGCTCTCTCGACCTCTGACCACCATGAAGGATACTGAAAGCTTGGAGCAACGGACTTTCGAGGCAAGACACCTGCGAACTCCACAGATGGTGGTAAGTCCGAAATGGTGTATTCAAGGCTGGGAGAGCAAAGCTGCAACGTATAGTCATGCGCCGTGTAGCACGAACGGAAAAGGTTTGTCTCTAGGATGGCCGTACATCCGGTGTCCTTCATGGCCTGCTGCCACGCATCGATCATAGGTTTCGTTGGGCCTCGCTCAACCAACTGTTGGAGAACCGCGTTACGCTGACGACCTGAGTCAGTGGCGTCAGCGGGCAAGCCAAGCGAGACTGGTCCCGTGTCTTGACTTTCCATCATGAAAGCTGCCACACCGATGCCAATAGACTTGGGCGCTGTGTTGAAGCCTTGAGGCAGAGGACGGCCATGTCTGAAAGGAAAGAGCGACCAGTTGAAAATGTCTTCGACAACAATGATCTGACGGTCTAGATTCCGTGCTTGTAGTTGAGAAAGAACCTCTTCCATCTTTAGCGTTCGTGGAGGAAGTGTCTCCAAGAAAACAGCTTTGATCTGCGCAGCGAACCGCTCCGGACCAATCGGCAGAGAAGCTGCTTCGCGGAGGGCTTGGTAGGTCGTATTGGTCATAGGGTTGTTGGTATGCACCCACTCGGCGCCCGCCTCTTCGACTTTGTTTCGGAAGTCTTCAGTTGTGACAAACACAACTTCGTAACCCTTCTTGACGAGGTATGCTGCGATGACAAGGAGCGGGTTGGTATGACCTTCTCCGGGGAAGGCCGCCATGAGAATGAGAGGATTGCTTTCTGAAGCATGTTTAATGCTTTTTGATTTGTTTACCGTCATCGCGTAAAATGTGATTGAGCACTTGTATATGGAAATCTTCGCAACCAGGAAGAGATGGCTCTTGGGCCTCTTATAAATACGTGCTCATAAGTCTATGATCATTCGCGATGTCACCCTTTGCTTATGAAGCATGAATGGAAACCATGCATCGTGTAGTCACAAATATGGACCATTCGCAACGCGTGGGGATGGACTGAATGACAATGAAAGATTTTGGTTGGTTGATGAAAGCACGTATGGATACATTTGCTGACCAGGCTTGGCGACCAAGCAAAGACACGGTGTGATTGCTCATGGTTGAAGGCGTATTCCCCCGACTGAGACACTCGTCGTGAAGTGCCAGATCGCCCGCTGCATGGAACCGAGGGACACCTTGCAACTTGATATCATGGTTTGGCAACTAAGTGTCCAATCACGAGCTTCAGAGTGCGTATGGCTATTTGGAAATCCAGCTGAGCCGCTGCGTGTAGCGTTGTCCAACTTGCACATGAGATGTCATCCGGGTACCAAAGCTCGCGTATCGGTGAGAAAGACGCAAGGCGACGATGCTTACAGAGATCAGTAGCCCATCTTGGACATGAAAACTAAGATCTTGGCACTGGTGATCTTTCGGGCTTGCGCTCGGGATACTTTGAGCTTCTTAGGCGACTCGGTGTTACGAACGGCGCTGTGAGTAATATTTCCACGTAATACGTCACCAGACCTTTGATACCTGCTTCTACCCTGAAAAGGGCGTTGCGATATACAGGCACCTTGTTCTTAGTGTCCATACTACCTTACATTGACAAAGTTCTCGCTAGTGACGCGGCTGCTCCCGCATCTCAAAGCGGACGCTCTTGATACTCCATAGCTTCTAATCAGAAGCATATTATCTTCAGAAAACCGTCACTTGACACCGGGAGCAGTGTGATGTTTGCTATCACGCCAATACAGCGGGTCTCTGCATCTTTGCGTAGTATTCCTCCCGAACGGTGAGGTGGCGAGGCGCTAACGTCGTGTTCTCGGACTCATTGCACTAAACGCGAGGCGCGAGCGCCTGAACGGCACTATTCACAGTACTTCATTACTAAGCGGTTGCCAGGCTGTCTAGGTATTGCCTGAACAGATTTGAGATCTTGAGAGCGATAAATTCTCGCCGCCTTCGCCTTGAGAAACATAGACGAAGCTGACATTAATATCCCAGCTCATATTCATTACATAAGTCTCACTCATTATTAAGAAAACTCTTAAGGTCCTGTCATTGATTTTAAAGTGGACTTACAAACACACTCTGAGCGTTTCAGACTAAGAGACCGCAGACGTTGAGAACAGCTAACACGTAAGGAGAAACTGCTCACTGCTCAGTCTATTTGTGCAGAGTGATCTACGTCTGAAAATGTGGCAGTATGAACAAAGTACTACGATATTCTAACATGTCATGATTGGTTCTTGTAATTCCGTCTTCATGTAAAGCTTTTCATCTGCCAAAGTCCGTTGCACTGTACTAGAGCAGATACCTGGGAAGTTATGTGGCTGAAGTAGCGTAGATGTCTATTCAAAAATGATCAAAGACTCGTGCTGACTCCAGTTAACGCTCTCGCACTATTGGAACTTCCCACATTCAAGAGATTTCTTGGATGGGATCGGCCTCTTCTAACCACAATGTGCGTGCTTTTCAAGTGGTGGTCGGCTATTCGTAAAGTAGTCAGGTTCCTGAGCTACATAATAATCTATAAAGCACTCACAAGGATGGTCTGTTGCATACATATCGTTGTGTAATTCGAGATCCAAGTGCGTCATCATTCACTTTTTACTCTACTGACCGATGTGTGTGGTCCCGTTGACAAGGTCACTAGGCTGGCTGGATTCCTAAGCCCCAATTAGGCGACCTTGACTCAGCAGAAAACTAAGACATATTGCATCAATTGTGAAATGAAATGACATTTCCCGTCTTGAACCGTGGAAGCTTCTGATAGCCGGTTGCTATTTGATGATATCACTTTTCTGCCGAGCAGGCTCGATTCCCCTTTGCATAGATTTGTGGTGCCCCCTGCTTGTGTAAGAGCCGGGGGCTTAGGAAGGGTTGGCGACATCGAGGCATTTCTGTTATCAAGAATGCATGCATGCCGTATTCCCGCCTCTTCCTCGAAGACGGTCAAGCAGTGCCCCGGACTCAAAGTTTGAGTGCTAGCATGGAAGGAACACTGATAACTTTACACGTACGCAGTAATCATGTGAGCTTCTGGTTGTTTTTCAGTCAATTAAGTGTGGAAGCGTTCACTTTGCAGTTGTCCGTATTATCCTCCTTGTCGATTCTCCCCTCTCGGCAGGCAATTCGAAGAACATGGCAAGGTGTAAATCCTCGATCGAGAAGGATCCGGCCTTCGGCGCGTCAAAGTTTTCCCCAAATGAATATAATTCCTAATGTCCTCGATGAGTTTTGTTGTATTAGGCAAGATGGTTCCTGGGTGGCTTATCACGATGTTGGAGTCTCCGCGTGCACTCGAGTCAGACGAAAGTATGGTCAACTGCATACTCCCGTAAATATCCAGAATTATCCACCTTAATCGGGAGCCAGAGACGCTAAGTGCTTTCCAGCGTCGGCGAACGCGATGTGTCAAAATGATCATCGAATTTTGTCGGATTATGACAGAGGTTAGCAGGCGACCATGACTCTTGATATGTGATTTTTGGTACTCTTCATTTGAACCTAATCTGGGGTCGGCCTACGCCGTAGTCGAATCAAACCTTATAGGAGTTTGTTGAATTCCTTTGGCGTGCAGTTGCAGATGAGCTGGCCTGCTAGGGCGGACGCTAATCTAATAAGCGCCCGCAGATCCCTAGAGACCCTTGACTTCAAGTCCGAGAACTCCGGACACGAGGTGGCCGAATGCAGAACATAGCTTCGAGACGGACTTTCGGGAACAACCATCAAACAAAGAAACAGGCTTAATTGGAATTTGAATTAAGTACAAGGATCAACCAAAGTCTATTCCAAAGGCAACAACGCTACTCAAGCCCACTCTCCTCGCATTCGCAGCACTAAGGAGTTCCGATTGGAAACAATCACATTTTAGGTTTGCATCGCGGGGCTAAACCGGCACAGGGCCGCTTGACCTGCAGTACCGGCAACGTGTGCGTGTACCGCCGACGAGGAACGAAGCCAACGCTTCGGCGGGTGAACGCAACGGTAACTTTATTAGTGGAATGAACGAAGAGGGGCTACGAATGCCTACGGTGATGTTGGAATGGGTAGCGCAGAAGGCTAACTCAATGATGGCATTCCCTCATCTTTGCTCTGAGACAGGGCGCCGAGTAAGGAGGTTCGTGAGCATACATCTAAAGTGAGGCCCTTTGCCAGATTCTGCTCAATGTACTCGGCTCCCACACCCTCCTCTTTCCTCTGTGCGTCCATTGACCATGATGCAGTCGTTCGTTTCGGTACTTTGTTTCTTTGCCTTGCTTACGCAGGTCTCTGCGTGGGGCCCGCGCAAGTCGGATCACGGGCCCCCAGGCCACTATGGAGGTCGACAGAAGCATGGTGCCAGCTTTACGCCGGACTTTGTGTTGAAGATGACTTACGAAAACGTCTCAATTGGTTGCCAGACAAGAATGTCGGCCTTGATCAATGGCACATTGTTCGGGCCGACGCTCAGACTCAAGCCTGGGCGAAGAAGTTGGATCAGAGTCTACAATGATATGCCAGACCATAATGCAACCATCCACTGGCATGGTTTGAGCATGCGCATGGCACCTTTCTCTGATGGCAGCCCATCGGCCACTCAGTGGCCTATTCCACCTGATCATTTCTTCGACTACGAGGTCTACCCCCTACGATCCGAATCCGGTACCTACTTCTACCATTCTCATGTCGGCTTCCAGGCTATGACAGCTTCTGGCCCACTGATCATTGAGGACAAGGCCGAGCCCCCCTATGCATATGATGAGGAGAGGATTGTCTTCCTCACCGACTACTTCAACAAAACGGACACCGTTATCGAGAAGGGCCTAGTGGCAACGCCTTTCACCTGGTCTGGCGAAACGAATGCGGTTCTCATCAACGGCGTCGGAGTCTCTGTTGGGGAGACTGCCGGAAATGGGAACTGCAAGCTACCAGTCATCGACGTGGAACCTGGAAAAACCTATCGCATGCGCTTCATTGGTGCTACGGCACTGTCCATGGTGCAAGTAGGCATCGTGGATCATGACAACTTTACCATCATCGAAGCTGATGGTCACTATACTAAACCTCACACTGAAAAGTTCATGCAGTTGACTTCGGGTCAGCGTTTTGATGTCATCTTCAAGACTAAGACCGAGGCGGAATTAAACGGGAAAACCGACTACCTTATTCAGTTGGAGACAAAAGACCGTCCGAAGGTGTACCAGGGCTATGGCGTACTACGATACTCCAAGGCACAACCGCAGATCACAACGGCTCCAGTCACTCCTCCTCTGATACTTTCCAACAAGACGTATGAATGGGCAGAGTATGCCTTGGAACCGTTGGTACCAAACAATTTCCCCCAGGCTAGCGAAGTAACTCGGCAAATTCACATCGATAATCGTCAGCTCGCGACCCAGACTACCCTTTGGCAGCTCAACGGACTGCAATGGAACGAGACTTCGACGCCTTATGCGGGAGATCAGCCCTACCTGATAAACATCTACGAGAACGGACCGTCTGCCATTCCGAACTACACTGCCGCCATGAACAACAACGGCTGGGATCCGACTACGTTGACATGGCCGGCAAAGATGGGCGAGGTAAGTATTTGATACTGTACTGTTTCACTCAATAGAACATTGAGTTGACATATTTCAAGGTTCTCGAGATCATTTGGCACAACACTGGATCACTGGTCAATGGCAATGGTGGCCTCGACTTCCATCCCTTCCATGCTCATGGCGGACATTACTGGGACATTGGCAGTGGAAATGGAACTTACAATAGCACCGAGAACGAGGAGCGGCTGAAGAACTACAATCCAGTCAAGCGAGACACAACAAACCTCTATCGATATAGCGAGAAGACAAAGTCTGGCGATGTTTCCGGGTGGAGAGGCTGGCGTCTGCGTGTGGAGGACGCCGGTGTATGGATGGTAAGTCTGCTTCATTTCCACAAGACTTGCTAGACATGAGCTGACCAAAGTCTAGATTCACTGTCATATTTTGCAACACATGGTTATGGGCATGCAGAGTGTTTGGGTCATGGGAGATTACCAAGACATTACTGGCATTCCTGCTGTTGATGCGGCTGGATATTTGCAGTACGGAGGAAACGTTAATGGCAACGCCACTTTCGCACCATCAGTCGTGCACTTCTTTGAGGAAGACGAGGAAAAATGATACCCATAGACTGATATAATTGTTAGATTTAATGTAAATTGCAGTTGTTGTATCCGTAATCGTTACCAAAACCAAGATACAGCCAATAATTGCGGACCCACTGCAGGGATGGTTATGGTTTATGCAATGAATCAAAACCCAGGAGCCACCCACGTTCTACAAGGCAACCTCACTGTTCGTTCATCTGAAAGTGTCTCCTGACTCATGATGTACCACGACAGCTTTTTTGATGGTGAGAATAAAAGGCATTCCTCTGCCACGAGCCTTGGCAATGCCAAGAGACTATTGCATTCAGTGTCCGTTATCATTGGTTCTCAACCGAAAGAAGGATCTCTCTTTCTCTACGAGAGACAGGCTTCATGCAATTGATCCACGGTTTTGATGCGCTCTGCGCATCCCACATTGGGCTGGTGCTACTTCTTATCAGCTTTTCTGTTAGTTGATCAGGACTTCTACTGTTGCGATCTTGCATTTGTTGACAGTACGTAGTTTTCTGCTTTTGTTGCATCTCGAACCATCTATAACGTTTATTTTCATCCTCTACGCCGCTACCCTGGGCCTCGACTTTGGGCCGCTTCTCGACTACCGTGGAACATTGTCAACCTTCAAGGCAACCTTGCTTGGACAATCCGCGAGCTCCACGGAAAGTATGGCCCGATTGTCAGAATTGCACCTGATGAGCTGTCTTACACGAGTTCTACGGCCTGGAAAAAGATATATGGTCAGAGATCACCAGAGTTTGCGAAATGTTTTGACGGAAGGGGAATCGCTGGGCCTAGCGTGACTAACCTAGCGGTTCGTAATGGCGGCATCGTGACGGCCGAGCAGGAGCCTCACTCCCGACTTCGTAAAGCAGTCTTGCCAGCCTTCAGCGATCGTGCACTAAGAGAGCAGGAGGATATCCTCCAGCTTTATGCAGGGAAATTGATGAAACAATTGCGATTCTCTAGCGAAACCGGAGCTCCTCAGGACATGGTCAAATGGTTTAGCCTTGCTGCCTTTGACATCATCAGCGACCTGGCATTTGGACAAGCGGCTGGGTGTCTAGACGATGCATCCCAACCATGGTTGCAAGTCATTGGTGCTCGAGCGCAGGGAATTGTCCGATACCAGTTCGCTATCTACTATGGACTCGAAGCCTTGCTAGAATGGCTCGCCCCAAAGGCCCAGAAGCTGGCTCTGAAGAGACATGGCGAGTTGACTGCCGGCAAAGTCAAACGCCGTCTTCAACAATCCGATAACAAGAGAGATTTTATGAGTTACATCTTGGAAAACCCACAAGCTGACCTCAGCAATGCCGATTTGGTCAGGATGGCGTCAGCTTTCATTGTCGCAGGCAGCGGCACGACAGCTACTGCACTTTCTGGCATCACCTTCTACTTGTGTAGCAATCCAAAGACGTACACGGCACTATCGGAAGAGATCAGAACCGCATTCCAGACCGAAGATGAGATCTCAATGGCATCGACCGGGGAGTTGAAATATCTCAAGGCAGTCATCGAAGAAGGGCTGAGGATATATCCCCCCAGCCCAAGCGCTCTGCCGAGGTTTGTGCCTGAAAGCGGTGAGGAGATTGATGGAAGATGGGTGCCTGGTGGCGTGAGTCTGATCCGCGACGAATTTACACTGATGGTGATAGAAGCAAGACGCTAATATTCTTATCGTAGACGGCAGTTGGCGTTCATCAGCTTTCCGCTGGCCACTCGGAGCAGAATTGGACCAATCCAAGGCAATTCATTCCAGAGCGATGGCTAGAAAAGAGCGACATATGTACGTTTGTTAATGACGATAAGTCTGCTAGTCAGCCGTTTTCTTATGGCCCTAGGAACTGTATAGGCAAGAGGTAAGACATCGTTACCTTCATCCCATGTGCTTTCTAACTATGTTCCCTAGCATGGCCTATGCAGAGCTACGCATAATACTGGCCAAGTTGGTTTGGAATTTTGACCTAGAGTTGACGGAGGAGTCAAAGGAATGGATTTTGAGACAAAAGACGTACTTGATCTGGCAGAAAGTGCCTTTACTGGTTAGGTGCAAGGAAAGACAATAGCACATGGTTATTGACCGTGGCTTGACGACATGACAAAAATAGAGGGTAGAAGGGAGCGAACTGTCGCACCAGTCACTCGTTTATCGTGTGTTCTAGCAAGGGACCCGTGAATATCTCGGTACTTGAGGTACAACATTGTTCAAAGCTATTTCTCGGCGGAACTCTTGTAACATATGCAAGTGTGGCAACCACATCCTCCTCTTACATAACGTAGGGATTATACACGCTTCCGTTGCGAACAGCTTCCCGGTACAATCTCTGGTTCGCTTTGTAGAGGTAGAACTTCAGACCCATGGCACTCGTGCACGCAATCAGGCCCATAACCATCATCATGATGAAGGCAAGCCGGTAGCGCGGCTCATCCGAGTCAACGAAGAAGTAGGGAGCAATCAGATTACCAATCTGACCAAGCACGTTGACGAGTGCGACGGAGATGGCTCGCTTCTCTGGCGTCCTACCCATGGTGTTGGATGTCCATGTTGATATAAGGGGGTTTGCAAAGTACATGCCCCCAACATACACAAAAGAAGCAGCGTATCGTGCTGTCTTGCTCTCAGTAGCCAGACATATGATGTAGCCGATACAACCAAAAGCTATAGGGCCGGCGAAATGGTACCCGCGCTCCTTTTGCCGATCAGAGTGCCACGCGTTCACAAGGGAACCAAGAGCCGCAAAGATATAAGGTGGCGCAGTCAGAACGAGGGTTATGGTGTTGTTATAACCGAAGCCCCGTACAATGGACGGGAAGAAGTTTGAGAAGCCATATGCAGCTGAGATTCCGATGTTCATGCCGACAAGCAGCCACATCTTGTAATCGAAAATGCTCATCTTCAGGCCAGCCCAAACGCCAGCTTTAGCTTCCGAAGTTGACACACGATCGGCCAGGATGCGAGCAGCAGCCACTTTGCGCATGTCTTCCGTCATAGACCAGCGGGCGCTACCAGTATTAGAATCTGGGTAGTCTGGGAGAATGAAGAGAGCAATCATAGCAAGGCCTGCACCGGTTGACGCCAAAACGATGAACAGCCATTGCCAGCCTGCCAAGCCATACTTGCCTTCCAAGGTTCCAAATACGGCTGCTGCGATGAGACCAGCGGTGCAGAAAGCTAGTGTTTGGCCAGTGTACAATAGTGCGCAGCGCAACGCCATTTCCTTGCGGGTGTACCAGCAAGACATGACATAGATAGCCTGGAGAGCTGTTAGAAGAATTCCAGAAGGACGAAGGTGCCCTGATTTCGGGTGATAACATACACCTGGGAACAGAGGGGCTTCGACCACGCCGAGAAAGAATCTGACGGCAATGAGACCCTGGTAATTCTTGACACCACAGGTTGCCGCCGAGACACTAGACCAGACCAAAGCCATACAGCAAAGATAGAGACTGGGTCGCACTTTTCCAATGATCATATTGGACGGAATTTGACCGAGAACGTATCTTTTATTCCAAGGTTAGAGGTTGACGTGAACGAAGGTAGAATTGATGGTTGATTCGCTCACCCGACACTGAGAATCGATACCGCAGTCCCGTACTGGTAGCCTTCAAGACTAAGATCTTCATCCAGGCTACTAAGGCGAGCTTGTCTGAGGCGGTTACGTTCATTTAGCAAAAGTACAGACTGGTATTTCTAATCTCATTTAGGCAGTGACTTACGCAATCGAAGCTCGGTCTAGATAGTTGAATAGGTAGAGTACCCATAAGCATGGCATGAGGGTCATGTCAAGACGCTTCACGACCTGCTTTTCGAGATCACGCCAGTTGGCGATACCAAGAGCCTCAATCTGTTCTTCTGGGGTAGGTAGAAGGTCGCCTTTACCGTTGGCTTCGTTAGCCTCCATTAGAGAGGGGTTCTTGGTGACATTATCTGTAGCGGTGTTATCGTTTATAGTGGGAGGGGTCGTGCCGATGCCTGACTGGGCTGTGGACTTCTCTTCATTGGCCATGATTATGAATAATCGATGAGTGACAGGTATATAGCATAGACAGTATCAAGGGAAGATGGAACATGATAGTAAATGAAAGGCATGGGAGATGCCTCTTTTTATATCTTCGAGTCCCTCATTGTTCGATTCCTACTCCTTAAGCTGCCGTAATCTGGTTATTAGGGCCTGTTACCGATGTCAATATTGTGCTTCACTTCCCCATACTTCTCCGCCATCCACAATGAAACTTCCCCAGATCCCGCCTCCATACTCCAGTCAAGCTGATTTCTGGTGGGTCTCCCCCGGGCCCAGAGAACCCATAGGTGAAAGTTCAGGGATAGGACTGGATCTTTCCCCAACCCCGCCTCAACGAAATCGCAGCTTTCCGTATGTTAACACCCAAATCTGTGTTCCGGAGGCCCACGGCAATGATGGCCATGAACCAAATGCAAGCGGGGAATCTTGCAGGATAGCGGTTTATCACGGCAGAGTCTCCGCGGTGAAGTCGAAACAGGCTTAGCCACTCGGCGTCCATCTCACATGAAGTCTCCAAGATCAGTATAAAGGTCCTTAGTTCTCGATACCTGAGCCGGCCTCCGGCTGAACTTTCTTGGCCCCGAAATACTTCGGGAGGATTCGGACAATGTGACAAGGCCTGACGCTAAACGACGACGAGAAATTGACAAGTGATGGGCCTATTGTGGGGTGTATGGACATGTTTCCACGATACTGACTTGGAAAGAGGATTGGGTTGGTTTGGCAAGCCAAGACGTCCAAGAATCCAAGACCTCTTGGTAGTCGGGAGTTGACCGAACCGCCTGATTTAAACGAGTATTTGGCTGAAAGCTCGACTTGGCTGCTGTATGATGACTGCGCCCAGTAGAGCCGCAGTCCATACCTCCATGGATTTGATTCCTCATCTCCACTCATACACACGAGCGATGTTTTGACTAAGAGTATCGCAATCGACTCGGACCGCACTTGAATACCCGACAGGATACGTTGTTTTCGCCAATGCCTTGGCCCGAGGAGATGCCATTTGTAGCGAATATGCATGCTTGATCTTTACGTCTCTTGGTATAGATAGGTAACAGTATTTCGCTGTCTCTACTGCAACTAAAGAGTTGCAGTATAGATGGAATTATTCTTGGCAACAAATCTGCTAGTAAACATCAAGTCTGGCCGTGTTTGCCGTCGTCTATGGCACTCAGCCTCTATCGGGTGTACTCTAACTCGCTTGTAAAGACCTTGGAAGAGAAGCTTAAAGCTCCTCTGACCACTGAGCCGACAAAGAAGGGACCGATAGCTGTTTCCTTGAGATTGTTGTTTCCCGAGTCTGCCCGAGGACCTTGCCCCTGTCACTGAGAGCTTGAGCGAAAACCAACGAGTCTTCTTCATCACCAGCCCTCGAGAACTGAAAATGCGTTTCAAAGCCGTCTCTTTTGATTTCTCCTAGTAGGCGAAGATTGTTCTTCTCCGCACTCCTAGAGGAGAATCGCCACGATGCTGCTTCGGTATCTCCATTCCACGACACGTATACGTTGACGACAGGGCCCTTACCTCTAAAGGCAACTATAGCCGGCTCCTCTGTAGGCGTACCCGTCCAATTGAAACGGTATCCGCGATAACTTTGGACCGAGTGGCCCTCGGGGGCTGAGTCGAGGTAGGCGTGAAACAAGACGTCACCATCATTGCTGTACTCCGTCACCGCGCCCGCCTGGCCCCAGTTGATGAAAGCATTCCCATTAGGAAGTAATTGTAAGTTTCCTTGGGTATGGGCCGATAGTCCATCCGGAGCGTCGTATGTTTTCAGAGCCTTAGCTGTGCCGTCGGTGTGGTTGAGTTGGTAGATCCGGCCGCGCGAGAACGGGTTTGTCTTGACCGATGCAGAGTGTGCGCCGTTATCAAAGAGCGATATTACCTCAATAGTTCCATCAGCCGAGCGACCGCGGAACCGTGCGTGATGCTGGTAGCCAAAGACATCTTGCTTGGGAAGGGTAAAGGAAGAACCTCCGTGGAAACCCCCAAGTTGCCAGACGATATCGCCGTTTGTGCCATTGATCTTGAAAACGGCCGCCGTGTTGCGTGCTGAGACAAGGTAGTTGCCCTCATTATCTTTGTCAACACTGTTGACGTGGAAGTAGTTCCAACCGTCAGCCTCTGTCTTACCGCCTCCTGGGAGGCCTTCGCCAAAGTCAAGCGGGAATGAGCTGTCTATAAGGCGTTAAATGGGAATGTTCGCAAAGCTTATGTTGTCTGTCTGATGACTTACACTTCGTGTCAACGTGGTGAAGACTTTCCCATTCGAATACGACCTCGCCCGTCTCAATGTCAATCTCTGTCATCCCAATTAGCCTTTAAACACCTTCCCCGCCGGGTTTGAGAACATATGAGCAACATACCTTGAAATCCCCCCGAAATGATCCAGTTTTGTTCTTGACTGCCTCCCCATGGCTTGAGAGATACGGGCCTAGGGATAGGTGTCTCTATCAAAGCCGTCTTACCATCGACCAGGCCGAATTCATGGGCCGAAACCAACTTGTGCGACCCGACTCGCACCACCTTGGCAACTTCGTAATCAGAACTTAAAAGAGTATGGTATCCAAACATGCGGCCGTGATGCCCATCAAGCAGGCCTTGAAAACCGCGTAGATATTGTTTCCCGTTCCAAGTATCAGGGCGAAAGTTGGCAACCCAGCCGGCGTAGTAGCCAATACTAGACCATACGAGTTCCCCGTCATCGCGGAAGATGTAGGCCCCAGGTTGATTCGGTCCGCTGTTGCCGTCCTCAAAGCCGGCATAGGGGGCGACGAAAATGAACCCCTTTTCTACCGATTTTCCAGCTGGGATGGTGATGTTAAGCCTCGGAGGAGCGAGGTCAGGTCGGGAGCGAAATTGCCAGTCAGCTGCTATTGGTGGCACAAAACCACTCACGACCATAAATGTAGTAAACGCTTTCATACTGAGCCAATGAATCTTTGGAAGGCTGCAGTGGGCGGCGGGGAGTTAGTTTCTAGCTTCAATGTCACGAAGCAACGCATCAGCATTGAATATCTCGTGCCTTTGTACACTTGTACGTT